CCGTTAGGTGGAATCAGGATTCTTGATTTCTCTGCTGACTTCAAAACAGCAAGTCTATTTCTGTTCCTTTCTAGTTGTTTTTGTCGAAGAGCAATACATCTGAAAGCCAGATACCATGGTGCATGCATATCAGCATCCTGAAGAAATCTAGAACCATACTCTGTTCTGGTAATGTCCATCAGATGACTTAAGATATTTGTTCCAATCAAAACAGGTACATTAGCATTATACTTGCTATCAGGAACAACTAAAAAGATACATTCCTTCAGAACTTCCAATGAAGAGAGTCCATGAGTGGCTAAATCTGCAATGACATATCCCAAATAAGGCATCATCTGCCCATCAGCACATTCAATGTCAAGTTGTTCCTCTAATGGATAAAGTGCTGTTCCATCTCGCAGATGTGTCTCAAAAAATGTTTGCGATATTGTGGAGACAGTAGCTCCAGTGTCCAATAATGCAGAACATGGAACTCCATTAATAGCCACTTGAACCTCATTTGATGTTCCTACTAATTCTTCCGATAAGTTGTTGGGACTGTTTCTTCTTCTGCCAGACCCTTGTCCCCAGGATTTGGCCATCTGTAGTTTAAAGATTTCTGATGATCAATTCTGACTCTGCAACCAATAGCTATATGTCCTTCTTGACCACATCTGTAACATACGACTTTATCAGATCTCCGATCCTGTTCCTGATTAGTCTTCTTAAAAGTAGTAAATCTGGGCTCAGGCATCCTAGGAGTGTAGCCTCTACTAGGATACTGTCCTCTTCTTCCTCTTTGAAAAGGCTGTCTGTTTCTGTTGTTATACGAACTATAGTTGGGTGGTTTATAATAAGGCTGCTGCTGCATTGCCTTCAGCTGGTTTATCTGAGCTTGCAAAGCTTCATATTTGTCGTCATCAACTGCAGTTTTTTCTGAGGAGATCCCTGATTTTACTATGGCTGGCTTTACTTTTGTTAATTTGGTCTGCCCTGGATGTTCTGTCTCGATCTTTCTCACTTCTACTCTTAATTTGTCAAAATCCTTAATTGAGTGAAATAAGTATCCAGAAATATCTTTTAAGTCTTGTCGCAGACCTTTATAAAACATTGTACGTAACATTTCATTTGCCGCATAGTTCTGGACCTTCCCCAACTTCATGGCAGTGTTCAGAATTTCCTCTAACCTGCAGCTCCAAGCTGAACAGGTCTCATCTTCACGCTGTTTAGCACTGTAAAACTCGGCTAAAATGTCTTCTTTTTCCAGAACATTTCCATAAATGCTGTCTAACTTGGAAAGAATTTCTTCTACAGTGGCACCAACTCCTAATCTCATCACAACTTTGGCTGCCTCTCCTTTCACAGATCTCCTAATGGCTTGTAATAAGGATTCTTCTGAATGAGCTTCCCTTATAAGACAGGTAACTTCATACTTCCACAGGTCATAGGAAGTTTCACCTTTTCCATCACCTGAGAACATGGATATCCGTAAAGGAGATTTCAGATAAACATCTTTAGAAGATGATGATGCTGCAGCGACTGGTTCTTTGGATTTGGTCTCTGCAATAGAATGACTGGCTGCCCAAGTTACAAAACTTTCTGGATTGATCTTCATCTTCTGCAATGCCATCCAGAACTGTTTCATGTCTTCCTCTGACATTGTACTTTCTGCTGCCTCGGCTTTATGTCCTTTAGGTTCCATTTTAAATTCTGTCGTAATTGCTGGCTTCTCTTTGGGCCTAGCATCTAAAGGTTTCTCTGTTTTTGTTTCAGTTGTAGTCTCTGATTTGTCTGCTGTCTTAGCTTTTGCTTCGGACATGGTTGTATATACAGATCAATGGCAATAAAATATTATGTACAAATAAAATAATATACAATGCAATTTTCAGGAGGGTAGTTCTAACTGAACTATAAAGAACACAGGGCAATTTTAATGTAATGAATTTAAAGGAGGGAGTTCATAACTGAACTACTGAAAAGGGATTTTTTTATAAGCAATGTATTTAAACAGGAGGGTAGCTCAATGCGCGAGCTAATTGCAAAGGGTAAGGTTATATGTACTTAACAAAAGTGAAAGTAGAATTGCACTTCCGGTATGAAGTTGCACTTCCGGTACTGCAGTTAAAGTTTAAAGGCAAAATTCAAAGTACAATATTTCTTATGATACCCAATGTGTAACTACTACACTAATCTACATAATTACGAATGCTGTATGTCGATAATGATGATCTCTAAATAATGTTGTATAATCACTAAAAAAATAATCTGCTGAAATATAAACAGTTGTAGAACGCTCTGTATCGAATATAAATGTCAAAATCAGCTGGTAACAAATTCAATGAACAAGAACTGAAAATAAACTGCGTTTACGATCCAAAAATCTCCTGAAAAAGAATAAGGGTATCAGACTAACTATACTATACCTGATATTCAAAGTTAATAAGAAATAAACAACAAACACTGACGATATAAAACAAATTAAATCAAATTTTAACTTTTTGTTTACAAAATCACGTTTTCTAAAGTCGTTTCCGGTTAAAACGGATTTAGCGGATATCGAGCTCAATCGAAATTACGCAATCGGAAAAGTAGGCAGTGCTATAGAAAATAAACCGAACCCGATGATAAATAAATCAATACTTTAAGGGAAGTTTGGAGAAGATGACAGACAAAACGCTATACCATTATTCTAAAAAAAATATGAACTTAATGTAAAACAACTTTTCACTGTATCAACACCCACTGCACACTGGATCAGACGACAGACTCAAAATGAATAGGCTACACTTCAAAATACCATACTTGAGCACTAAATAAACTACTTGACCAACTGCAACAAATTAATTATCTGTCAAAGTGTCAATATGTCTTTGTCAAAAGGGATAGATATTATTTACTACATTTTTGTAAGTTCTGATTTAGTAAATCAAGGGTATCTGGGTACTTGGATGGTGCGCAATGTGCAATACCTCACTTACCCATACGTCTTCCTCTCCGGTACTTCAATTCTTCAAATAATATAACTTATATGTGGGTACCCAATAAAATAGCTAAACTATAGTAAACCTATATACACTTTGACAAATTGTTGATCAACACTATAACAGTACTGGCCAGCTATTAAAATAATATGATCTACCTCTAGTTAAACTAGAATATATACATGTATTGCTAGTTGCTTGAAAGCACTGTAAATTTTCTGTTCAAAAACTCACCGATCAGCTGATACTCCAATGTCACATAGCAAAAATATACAACAATCACAAAAAATGATACTACTCACACAAGACATTAAGCTCACAGTTTGTCACAGTAATCACCGGCAATATATGTCCAAGTCAATGGGTTGGCCAATATAGTGGTAGAATTCACACGCACAGCTGTGTCTATTCAGGTGTAACAGATCACTGATGATCTAACTGGTCAACGGGAAAGTCGAACACTCTTAGGAATGTGTCATCTGAAATGATGTTCAATCAGGAAAGTCCCTACATGGGCGCCATTTTGTAACGGTGTCTTATTATAAATCTGGAGCATGGAAATATAAATAAGTCCGTTTCAGGGTTCTACTGACATCTCCATTTATTACATTCACAGATGAACACATAGAATAGTTGGAATAATGGAACAATGAAGGAATTTGGAATAATGCCCTGAAAAATCATAATAACAAATAATAAATACATAGCATAAAATATTCTGATATATCCGTATCAATATAGTAATTACAATCTGCGGTTAACAGATACGCTGCATAAAGGGAGGTAACTCTGTACATGATTTACATACAATCAATGCCCCCTTTTAATATTACGCTTTGAAAAATATAAAAACATTAATATCATAAATATCATACCAATCTATGGGACTGAGCCTCTCCCATTCATTGTAGTCATAATATGGCTCACTGTACACGTATGTCCAGATCATAAAACTACAAATTATCATAGTTTACATAAGTAAACCTATCATCATAAAAACATCTAGTAGATATATATAAAATAAAAAAATACTTTCAATAAAATAGTTACTCCTTAATTACTGTCTCTCAAATCAGATTCTGACTGTGCTAGTGCTATGGAATTAACTTTGGCAAAATTACAGATTTTACAGTTAAATCAAATATTAGAAATCATATTAGAATTAGTATATAAATGTTATCTTACCTTAATAGAGAAAAGTATTGTCTCTGTCAATGTCAGAAAGTCGTAATTATAAAACTTGGTAAATACAACCCTTTCTGGACAAATACTGGACAAAGAATGACCATAACAAACAACTTTTTGGAGGGAAAAATACTGAACCAATAAAACACAACCTTACAAAGTCCAAACCAATGAAAACAGTGAATACTTCAAACCAAAGACCAAAGACCAGAACCTTCATAACCCAAGGCAATAATAATTAAGTACAGGTACTGCCTGTTCTACTTAATAATGCATTTATATTTACAATTTAAAAACATATGAAATACATTATAGATTTATTAAATAAATTAATAAATCTAATACTGTAACATGAATAAGTCACAAATGTAAATATAAGTAATAAGGTATCATTTTAAACATCTATCGGGCTATAAATACGGGTTGGTACGAGATCAAATTTACCATAGAATTTGATCTCGTGACCAACCCGTATTTGTATCCCGATAGATGTTTAAAAATGATACCTTATTTCTTAACTAAATCAGTAGTATTCAGCGTTCTTGGTTATTTCCAAATGTAAAAAAAAATGTAAATTCTCATTCTGTAACTACATAATTAAAATTTTCAGATTTCCTGGGAAAACGCCATATTTGTGATCGTCAAACATGGTAGCAAAAGCAATACAAGGGCAATAAGAAATACTGTTTATAAAAAATCATTCTGGTATAAATACACATTGAAACATATTTCACACAACACATAAGTAAGGTTGTCCATCAACTTTCACCTATTCATCAAAAAAAAAAAGGATCTTAAATAGGATTATTGTGACATTTTCATCCTTGTACAAATAAAGCCTGGAAATACTGAACAAAACTTGTTACTTTATTTATTTATCAGATTGTGCTTTAAATTCATACACTTTTGAAGTCCCCATGTTAGTTCCTACAAAACACAAGTAAGAATTTTCTTTAAATCTTATACATCTTGGAGAATTAACATTGAAAATCTTTAATAATTCTCCTTTCGGTGACAGAGCATGAATGTTATTGCTATCTTTGCCAGCGACAAATATATTTCCAGCGAAGTCTAAATCAAGGCCATATGGATACTTTAGATTTTCATGTTTATATGAGTAAATCTTCTGTCCCTCCTCATTCATAATGACAACACTGTGAGATAAACAACTGGAGCTGATTATTTCATTGTTTTTGTTGACTGCAACAGAAAATGTTGATGTTTCAGTTACAAATTTCCTAACAATGTTTCCATCAATATCCAACTTCACTATGAAGTCAACACAAGCAGCATAGATAAATGCTGAGGAACAAACTAATGCACATATACTATTTTCAAGTTTAAAATACTCCTGTCTATGAAGGAAACTATCTTTGGAGACCTTTTCAATTAATCCTTTTTGATTCTCATGAGATCTCCAAAAAGATACTAGCATCAATTCTTGATTCAGAGAAAGTATATCTCTTGGTGCCCTTGGAAAACTGACTTTGTCAACAAGTTGTCCACCGCAGAAATGAAGACAGCGATTAGATTTTGCATCGGCTAAATAAATATTTTCCTTTGGCATGAAACATCCACCAGTGATATCACCTTCTGAATCAGCTAGTTCACATATCATGTGAAGAGTAGCACATGTCAAATCAATGGTACACGGCCAAAGTTTATAAGAATCTGTTTCAAATCTCAAATCAGCAAACATTGAAATGTTTAAAATCCTTTTCAATTCCTCTGATGCACTTGTCTTTAAGGTTATTTTCAGCTGAGACATATCTTGTTGCATAACAAAAGACAACTGCTTTTTTATGTTGTAGAATTTCTTGATAAAAACTGATGGAGATTTCTCCATTATACTGTTTAAAATCTGAGAAAACCTGTCCAACAAAATTTGCTGATCAGAAAAAGCATCTACAATAACAGCAATTTTGTCTCTATTTTCCTTTGCACCTCTTGCAAGATGTGTTAAACTTTTTTCCAATAAAGTTTCAACATGGGTTACAATATCATCTCTTAAGTTTGTGTACTCCTTTGTAATTCCGTCGACTTCATTATCAAGATCTTTAATATTGTTTTCTCCCTCTGTTTTAGCTTTGATGAGTGCATTTTTATACTTCTGGATATTCAGGAGAAGGCTTTCTGTACTTTGAGACTCTTTAAGCTTTTGAACAGCTTCTTCCGCTGTGTCAATTTTTGTACAAGTTCTGTGCTCTCTACAAACACACTGAGTGCAACAGGGTTCTTCATGATCAACACAAAAATATTTTGTTTTTTTCTTATGGTTCTGACAATAAGAATAAACTTCATCATCATCATCTTCCTCAAGTAATTTATTATATTCACTGATTGAAATTACTTTGTGACTCCGACTTACGATGTTTCTCCTGTGGGCTTTGGCACATGGGGGGCAGAGTAATTCTGTGCAAGCTTTACACCAATCACTTGCTACTTCCTCTTCATTCTCACGTTTACACGCATCACAGATCCTGTCACTTTTTTCACTCATTACTTGGACCATTTTATTGATCGGGAAGTGTTCTGTCCATTTGTCTGGTTTTCCGGGAAATATTGGTGCGGGTGCGAAATTTCTGCAGAGTGGACATGGAAATCCTACAGGGTTCTTCTTTTTATTACATGTGGCCAGAATATAGGCTGATAAACAGTTGTGGCAAAATATGTGAGAACATGGAAGGTGTCTAGGGGTTTTAAATGACTCAAAGCATATTGAACAAACCGTTGGCTTTGCAGAGACAGTACCGGTTTCCTCAGATGATCCAGATTTGTGTGAGGAGTCCATGATGATCCAAAACAGACAGTAGATTCATGACGGGAATACAAGAATGCCGATCCCGATTCATGTTCTAGATTTATCTCGTCGGTCTATGAAGTTTGACTTATGTGCAGACTCTTCAGGCAAACCCAACGGGATAAAGATTGTCCCCCCCCCCCCCAAAAAAAATAAAATTAAAAAAATATATATAAATCTCCCATCCCTTTAATGTATTTGAAAAACTGAAGTTCCCAAATTATCATGCTCTATAATATTTTCCTTCTCAGTACACACTAATTAATTTTTTATGCCAAAGAAACGGAGACATGCAAGAAGAATGTTTAAAAATCTCAGCTGAAATCTCATATAACACGGATCATGGTGTCATTCCCATATCGCATACAGTTTTCATCGTTCAGGACGGAATGGAAGGATTGACAAATTTTGGTCGCTCTTCAGAAAAAAAGGAAGAGTACATGTAGGTATCATGCCACTATTAATATAAGCTATAAAGCAAAGTTAATGATTTAATTTATAAGCTTTATGCCATTTAATTCGGTATAATAATTATGCAACATAGAGTTGACGCTCTTGATATTGTCAGATGGGAAACGGACACTTTCAATTCAAGAAAAATATCTCATTCAAGTATCTTTTTTCAGTAGTTCTGATTTTCTCTTTTATACTTTCTACTCAGATCCATTTCTTTAGTTGTAACATAATCTTTTTTATTCCAAATGCTTAAATGGAATTAGTTTAAAAAAATAAATTTATATGATTTCAATTTTATGCATGTAAACGGCTCTAACCATTTTCAAAAACATCCTAACTTTAAAAGTATTTTTAGGAATTTACCATACCTTATCTTGTTATTTGCGAAAGATATGATTCATTAGGATTTATTAAAAATTGACATACATGCACTAATTTTATTCTTGTAAATTAATCTCGGGCGAATAGAAATTTTATTGACGTAAAACAGGTGAAAATAACAAACAGCAATCAATCTCACAAATCCATCAAAACAAAAACACGGACCGCTAGAAAATCCAGAGGTGGGATCAGGTGTCTAGGAGGAGTAAACATCCTCCTGTCGACCGGTCACACCCGCCCTGAACCAAATGTATCGATCAGGTAGACGGACTACTCCCTAGTCAAATTTAGGATAAAATAAATGACCTAACAAATGATATAAAATATGTCAAACAAAATACAACCAACGATAGGTTGTATTTACAAACAAGGTAATTATAACGACCATTTGCATAAGTCTGACTTTTAAATGGGTTGTTGAAATCCTTGTAGTGTCAAGTTATTTGTCAGTAGCTTGCCTTGGTTTAAAAAGTGATCGTATTTAGAGCATGCTTTTCATATCGAATCGGTTGGGAGACAAAAACACCTTATGAAGGTGATTTTGGAATATTGCTATATATAAATAAGGGAATTTGACGATGGAAAAGCTGATTTAGAAGTATTCCCATTTGTCATACAGTTTAGTTATTAGTTGTCCATTATCGTCTATAGTCAGTAAAACATCCAAATATGAAACAGATGAGGCAAACTCTGTAGTGACTTTTATTTAGATTTCAATGAGATATATCGATTCGACTTTATAAATGAAAGTAATATTAATTGATAAATTTAAATGTTGAGTTGAAAGTCACCACTACTTCTGAATAAATTCTGCTTCATGAAAATTAAAAGAAAAAAAAACAGGTTGAGTAAAGTTTGTTTTCTTGTTGATCTATTTAAAATATACTGAAAGGTGTGTCGTTGGTTTCAAATATCTTGAGGGGTGATTTAGAATAATTGAATATAATGAATAATATGATTTTAGATTGTAAGAACTAAAATTAATATATAAAATAAATATAATTTGCTGGTTACCAGTGGAATGCGTTTTCTTGTAAGATGTATAAGGCAGGTTTAAACAATAGTTGCTTCGGAATCAGTTGTAGTCTTGATTCTTTGTTGCTGCACAGTTCAATTTTTCTATCAACCTCCATTAGGAAGGAAAGATTGTTGTATTTTTCTGAGAAAACTTAATCGCAGAATTTAACTTAAGTGCCCCGTTCGAGTGCGTATTAAATACTTAATTCGCAGTAAGTTACTGCGATTTAAGTTTGAACTGCGTTCACATGGAGAATTTAATGCGAAGTAGTTTAATTCAATTAATTACTGCTCATCAAGTTACTTCGCATTACCTCCGTGTGAATGCTAAGCGAAGCTAATTCGAATTAAATTCTGCATAATGGCAAAATTAAGTCACATGCCACATTTCGATGGTCAGATATAGATGCTATTTTTGTGTGCAGTAACTTAACGTTTAATTCTAATTAAACTCTCAGTGTCAACAGGGCATAAGTACACTTGTCAGAAAACATCTTTTTTTTTTATCATTTTTGCTATATATACAGTTTTCATTGTGAAGATGATGGAATATAATACGAATACTTCTAAAACCACTGATCAAGTTCTCAATTATTCTATTTGTTTAAACGCGGAAGAAACAGTAAAACCACTTGAGTTCGGCTACAGTTATCTTAATTGACGCATCCGGTGAATCATGGTTTTTTGAATGACAAAATTCCCAATATAGAAAACACAAATAACAAAACAATTGAGTACTTTCCTTGGAATAAATCCATTTCTATGTGTAAAAATTATTCGCACTCAAAAATAGTTACAGGATCACCCATAATTTTAAGTGAAAATGCATTTACTTTTGTTAAGAACTTATAAAGCTTTATAAAACATAAAGCATGGAGGAGTAAGAAAGAAAATTGTGAAGGCGACAAGAAGAGACGAGATGGATAACAGTTCTGCAACTGGTATGGAGCAAACCACAATTGATCTTGGGAGTTTTAATGACGCCTACATCCAGCGATGCCTCCCCAACACAATAGTGATACTGTTTTTCCTGTTTGTTGGAGTGTTAGGAAATTCTCTCATTCTCTATGTGTACGAGTTCCGTTTTCCACGATCCGACGGACGGTACTACATCGGTGCTTTAGCATTTTGTGATCTTGGAGCTATAATTTTTACATCTGTGTTAAATCTTTTACAGAACTTAACGAAATACGTGTTTCCTGGAGATGCAGTCTGTAAGGGCGTTTTGTACCTTAGTTACGCTTTCATTAATACTTCCTTGTTTCTTTGGAACGTTATTGCAGTCCAGAGATTTCGCAAAATTTGCCGGCCTTTTTCTTGGCAAATGAGGCCCAAATGGAGGAAGTGGTGCATCGTGATCTGTGCCGGGTTATCATTTACATTTTATTCGCCAGTTTTCTATTTTTATGGGATACATGAGGTCGTTTTCACAAATAGCAATATTACAGTATTTGTCTGCCAGCAAACAAAGACGCATACATTTGAACTGAAAATTTTTCAAGGAATAGGATTCGTCCTTTCCATTTTAAATGTGATGGCTATTATATTTATTTACGTCATCGTTTCTATCAAAATCTATAAGGTCATGCGAGGAGTCCGAAAAGCACGTGCGGAAAGCATTAGAAGTGTAACTAACACTTGGCCTACAACAACGTCATCAATAATGGAAGACCGATCAGCCGGCACCGCTGCGGAGCAAAACCCTACCAGAATTTCAAGCACTATTTCAAAATCTCAAACTGCAGCTCAAAAATTAGAACACACCATTGCGTTTACATTTATGACAATTCTTCTTATGGGTTTGCTTTCCTATGCGCCCTCACGATATTTGTTGGTTTACGAGACTTTAAATCCAAACTTTTGGGACAATTTAGATAACAGTAAATTCAATTTCTATCTGTTTCTAAGAAGGTTATACGTTATAAACCATTCTTGCAATGTCTTTATTTATGCAATATTTGATTCCATGTTTCGGAAGGAAGTTAGAAATCTCATTGGAAGGAGCTCTTCGTAGGTTTACAATAAAGATTTTGCAAAAAATTGAAATGAAATCATTGGGGTTATTTTTTGTGAGAAGTTGAAATATTACAATAAATACATGTATGTTACCGGTATCTGTTGGGTTTTTAAAACTATGGTTGTAATGAGAAACAATAATGTAACGTTCATGATCAGAACCATCAAAAAAGGTAGTTAAAATTTGTAACAATTTATCATTCTAAAGAAATGACGAAATCTTAAGGTTCCAGAAATGTTCCAATTAAAACTTCAAGTGAAACTTTTGTAAAATATATTCTCAAAATATCAAAGTATGTAAAGCCCAGTGAGTATGACTTGGGAGATATATTATGGCAGTAACTGTGGTTATATAATTTTACAAAGTTTTGATTGAATGTATCTATTTTTAATTTTACTATATCATAAATTTATTAAACGTTAGATATACTAGATTTTTGGGATTTTCAAATGTTTTTAGTCAGTATTGCTTCCTATTGGAATTTCTCTGAGAGTTTTGCGTCCTTTTGGCAACACTCATTCTATCTAAATGTGCGTTTTTAATTTTTGAGTTACCATGGCCACAAAAATTAATAACCCAAAATATTTTTTTCCTGGTAAAATTAACTGTCACCATATATATTCTTGGGGGTTATGTTTAACAGCTCCTTGTTTGTCAGATTTTCTTAGATTTTTATTATTGTGCAGGACCTGGCATGTCATTTCTATTTCAACAAAGGGTTATAACTGACAAAAATTCATATATTTTAGGAGTGACTCTAATTCCTGGCCAAATTATTCGAGTATAACCTGGTTTGGGTCAGTTTACGCTTTATAATCCGGAATTTGGCCAAGAATTAGAGTCATCAGAGTCATTCCTTATAATTTAATTTTAAAATCATTAAATAACTACATAATGGGTGTGAAATTTCGTTACTTTTTATTAGTTCAACTTTGCCGCTCAATAATACAACCGTAGTAACGGAAGTGATGGGAATCGAGGGGAGGTAAAATCTGATACATAGGCCTAGCAGCCATGTTGTTTGTTTACATGTGGTAAGATCGAATTATTTTTGGAAATTAAAGGTACATTTGTTAAATCTGGAATTTTCCATGAATCCCGAGGACTGGAAATGAGAGGA